TCATCAGGTGGTTATGTAAGGAGAGTCAGTTGACTTAGTAAAATGTCATCTTGCCCCCCCCCCCCTCCCCCCCAAGGATTTGTCAATCCAAGTCAGAATTTGTTTAAGTCAATGTGGACCCTCTGTCCCCTGAAAAAAAATCCTGGATCCACCCCTGATGTAGGGTGCAAATGTCCAAAGATTTTGCTCACAGCTAGTGCAGTTACATGTGTATTTTTATTACAGGGTGAGATAATTTTTTTGTTCCGGATTCAAGACCAGTTATTTTTTTTACAGACATGTCCATATCACATCTGAAAAGTCTTGTGGGTTAACTGTATTTTTAGATGTTTTAACCTTTCAAAATACAAGCCACAGTTTTGTGGGATTTAGACTCACAATATGAAAAAAAAAAATACACATTTTATCTCACAATATTCTTCTCATAAGATCAGAAAGATACTATTCTAGAGCACTTGGACTTTGATGTGAGATTTAAAAAGGAATCCGTCCAATGGATTACTGTTTACCGTAGGATAACAGAATAATTACATAAAAAGAATATGACATGTTGAGTGTTTGTATTATGTGATTAATAATCAAATCTATTTAGATTCATAAAACAGTCTTTCTAAATTACGTGCTTGGTGAGAATTTTTACCAGAAGATAAACAGTTTCAGATATTCATAAGTAAATACCTATTCTTCACTCCTTAAATTGATCAAAAGAGTTTGAACTGGAGACAGTTTCTTATACTTTTGTATTTGAAACAAAACAAAACATCAAAGATGTGATGTACAAAGAAGCTGTCATGAACAGTAATTATAGAGTTGTAGCCTGAGTAAATACTACAGACAGATGTTGGTTTCCATTGTAGAGGGTTGGATTTGTCAGTTTAATCCCCCCATTTAATCTGCTTTTCTGGGGCTTAATACCCTGGCTTGACAACCTGTCTGGGACATGGTATTCTTTGGTGCACATGCTTATGATGGGGGGTTTGTCAGCAAAGAAGGAGAAACTTCAAAGGTGGCTCCATGTCCCCAGGATACCACCACCCCTGTCTATATTCTTTTGCAACAAAACTGAAGAGATTGAAGGCAAAATAAATTGTTTGTAATGGGGAATGCTTGTTGTGAGGGGATGCTTGATTAGCAGTGTCGGTGCCCCTCTTATCAAGTAGTTATATCTACAACCTTTTGTATATGATTTAAAGATAAATTAACTTAAGTTTAATCTTTTAAATTGCCAGAGGCTCCTTTAGAATCTGTCACTTCTGTCATTGATAATGGCCTCATATGCATCTATGTGTGCCATTGAGAAGCATTCTTTTAAGTCAAATTTAAGGAATATTAAAATATATAAAATTTGATGATGATGTTAACATTACTAGCATTGGTTGCTAAAAATATTTTCAGGGTATAAATACGAGGGGCATTTCAAAAGTTCTGGCAACTGGTATATAAAATTTTAACTACGTTAAGGATTAAAATAACTCTGATACCCTTGTAAAGCTTAGGCAAATATGCATTAGTAGTGATGTCATTTTACATTCAAAATGACGTATAGGTCTGCTAAAATGACGTCATAATTAGGTATACTCTGTATACTAGGCGTAAAAATGACTGATAAGGAGAACAATTTTTTTGTTGAGCAAAGAGCGTATTGCAAAATTCGCTCATTGCTTGGCTTTACGGCAACAGAAATAAAAGCCGATTTAGATGTAGTATATAGAGAGCATGCTCTTTCATATCGAGCAATAGCAAGATGGGTAGTTCAATTTAAAGAGGGTAGAAAATCAATTGAAGATGACCCCCGTTCGGGGCGTCCAGTTTGTGCATATGGCGAAAAAGAAATCATCGCTGTTCAAAATACGATATCTGATGATGCTAGATATACAGTTGAGGAAATAGCAGACTTAATTAACAATCTACAACTTGTAGAGCACTATAAAACGACCCGACCAACAACCAGTACTAGAGGAATAAAGCTCCTCCATGACAACGCACCTGCTCATAGATCAGAAGTAGTAACCAAATATTTAAAGGAAAATGGTATTGCCGTTTTACCACATCCACCCTACAGTCCTGACCTAGCTCCATGCGATTTTTGGTTGAATGCCGTTATCAAAGAAGCCCTCCGAGGACGGCGATTTGAAAGTCGTCATGCAGTAGGAAGTGCCGTATTCCAGTGTATGAAGCGTATACCGAAAGAGGACTATAGGGCAGCATGTTCCACGTGGATTTCAAGACTGAAAAAGTGTGTCCAGGTCAACGGAGACTATTTTGAGGGATTGATATAATTTAATTTATGATAATGACGCTCATTAATTTACCGCACACCAGTTGCCAGAACTTTTGAAATGCCCCTCTTAAGTCAATCAATTCTTGTTCCACCACTTATCACATGCTGATATTGATTATAATTTCCTCTTGAATTCCTGATTTTTAAGAAGAAAAAAAATACTTTCTGGAACAAAAGTTGTGCAGAATGTCCCTATTTTTCTGCTATGGTGGCATCATAATTACAGTACTGTAATACAATTGATAAAAACAAAAACAAAAACAAACTCAGGAAAATCTATTTTTGGAGAACCTATCTTGAATTTATAAGCTTTAATTAAATTTGGTTTCTCTGTCTGTTGACTCTATAATTTTGGCCGTAACTTTTGGACTGTTAATGCAATTAAATTGATCTCATATTCTCTTATGGAATAGGTCAAGCTTTGTGTCATTGAAGGTTGTTCTGAGAGATACTTTCAGTTAATTTTTATCACTGCCAGGAATACTGAGTTTCAAAAACACCTCTTTGACCCCTCTGTTCACTAAAGTGGAAAAAATATTTTTACTTCAGAATCTTCTTTTTCAGAAGCACAGGGACAGAAAAGACAAAACTTATTTGAAAGCTTCTAGTGTAGATTCAAGTTTGTTCAAATCATGAGTCAATTGGGCTAGGATGGGATGCAATTCTTTGATAAAAATCTTTTAAAAATCCCCCCCCCTCCCCCCCCCCATGAACATCGAAGTACAGGGCCACAATTATAAAGTACAGTCAGTTTCTTCAAATTGAAATCATAACCCTAATGCTATGATCGGAACTAAATATGGTTGCGACGTTTTACATGGAATTTTGAAATATATAGTTGAAAAGAATTGTAGAAAACTTCTCTTAAAGAATAGCATGTCCAAATTACTTAAATAATTTTTTGAATTATGACAATTTTCTAACAGAAGATGGTGAACATATTGCACATGAAATTCAAGATACCATATGGGGCAAAATTTGAGACAAATCATAATGGAAGATTATAAAGGAAACAAAGTCATCTATCAACTGTAGAGTTATCTGTCTTGATTTGGGGGGACAGACCACCTTAATTTTACACATATTAAGAAGAAATGAATCAAATAACAGCACAGATGTCATAACAGCACACATGTTATTGTACAATCTGCAATATTTTTTTCTTTAATCTGGTTATTGATCTATAGATTCAAGTGTTATCAGAACAATTTTAGCTGTCAAACTTTTGTACCAAGCACAATCAAAGAGAATAAAAAAACTGGACCTTTAAACAATTCTATCTTCTGAAGTAAATTTTGGACAGGTCCTCTTAGGGCCAACAGCAGGTTTCCAAAGCTTATAAGATCTTCCAGGTTTTAAATAGCGTATTATGTTACACTTGTGAGTGTGTTGTATTTGGATTTTAACCAGATTTCCTTGTTTAGTTTCTGATTGAGATTAAGGCATTAAGCTTTCTAATACTTGTACAGTACATGTCTGACTTTGGTGCAGAAATATCGACAGTATGGCGTTTCGTGAGGATTAATTTTGAACATTTATGAGAGTTTTTTTTGTGGTTGATTAAAACAAAACAAAGGGAAAATGAAGACCAGTATTATGATACACTTGCCTCAGATAGCCATGTGTGAAGAAGAAATGAGTTACAGTAATGATTCCATGTAAAGTTTGATTTTATTTTATTTTTTCTTCATTTTATTTTTTGGTTCATTTTTTCATTCTTGCATACTTTTAGTTTATGGTTTTTATTGCAGGTGCAATACTGGTCTATATTGTTTAAAATCATTTATTGTTACAGTTTATGCTGTTGGAGAATATGTGTTTAAAACGTTTATTGTTCAAAGAATATGGGCAAATTAGGCATGAGTAATGCCTGTAACATCAAATTCAATTTCTGATTTAAGCATTTAGAGCAAAGTGCTTATTCATGAAAGGTATGAAATTATGACATGCAATTTTTTTTCTTTGGAAAATTTTTCAGCAAAAATTATTCTATTAATAAAAATCCTGAGTATCAGTTTTTTTTCTTAGAGACTGGCATGTTAACCACTATGCCATGCAATTCATTACAGGTACTGGCATTTAAATCTTGTTTGTGATATGACCCTTGAATAGATGACCTTCAAATATTTTGTGGAAAGATACAAATATTGTGTCATAGAAGTTTATTTTTAACATGAAGTGGATCCTTGCTCCATGTAATTTTTTTTTTTTTTTTTTTTTTACACACGTACTTTGGAGAAATAGAGTGAAGACCCATTTCTATGGAAAAATTGTGATAATTCAGAGAAAAAAGAAGAAGATTTTTTTTGCCCTATATGGTGTGTTTCGTAGAAGAATAATTTCAATACTTGAGAATTATTGCTAATTGTAGGGATTTTGCATTAAGTATATATTAATGCTAACTGAAATATCAAAGAAAGTTTTGTTATAATTTTCATAATTGAGATTTTATCCTTCAAATTATTTATTGAACAATAGGCATTTTCCCAGCTTATTTGCCTATCTTCTTTGCACTAGCTATGCTAACTGGTGTCGATGCAATGCTTCATGTGAATGATTTATTTACTTATAACCTGCTAACTGTGATTTCATTAAAAATCCACCCACAAAAGAAATTTTGTTTAACATTGATACTGATTAACCTAAAAACACCTTATCACTGGACCATCAAATTAAAAAATATGATAAAGTTTAAGTTTAATTTTTTTTTATATTTCAGAAACACGTCTCGTGTGCCGTCAGAATCTCGGGAGGCAATGTATAGAAGAGCAATGCATCTGATCACAGCACGCTGTACCAGTACCGCCCCAGGAATGGAGACCCCCTATGGAACAGCCAGAACGTCTCCCTTCGGGGTACAGGTCCCCCAGTATTTCTACATCAGACAAGAACGCCCCACCCCTATGCCACCACTTAAGGTACAAAGTGTTATGTCTTTTTTTTCTCAATTTTTGCAAAAATCTAAACCTGTCTTAAAAAAGAAGCATACAGTTGGATTTATTATATCCATTTTCATGTTCCTCTATCTGTTACTTTGACCATCCCTTTATGTGTCTTAACCTATGATTTTGGAAAAGCACATATGATTGGTAATATAATGTTCAGCGTCATTATTAAATGAAAGTTGTTTTATAACCAGATGAGTCAAGAGATGGGAAGTATTTTGCAAGTTTCAAATTGAATGACATTTTAAAAAAAGATGTTTTATTTCAAATGTGTCCTGCAGTTAATGTTATTAATCGTATTAGAACAGTTTTATCCAGTATTTGAAATTAAGTTATTTCTATGGGACATTTAAAACTGTTTTCATATGGGAATATTGACAGCTTTGGAACTGGATCTTTTGTTCCTTCTTGAATTGAAACTGAACTGATAATTTTGGGGAATTGGTTAACACATATTGATAAAGCATGCCATTTGTAGACTATTTGAAAAGCTTTTTTTTTTCTTTTACAGGCATGGCAAGGTTACAATGGCAATGTGTACTTTGAACCGATTCAAATCTCCAGCCTTCGAGAGCTTCCTGAAAAATCAAACAACCCATATGAGTCGCGATCGAGTGATCTTCATCGCATGCTGATGTCACAACAACAGTCCAGACCTGATAGTGATGCAATGAGGACCACATCAAGAAACACGGCCAAAACTGGCAGTAGTTTGAAAAGTAATCGTCCAAGCACCACAAAACAGGTGGTGTTGCTGGACAAGAAAACAGTGCTCAATCGATATAATGACAGCTTGAATGATGACCTTGACGTCATCGAAGGCACGGAACACACTGGCAGTCTCTCTGTACGACCAAAAAGTGACAGAAGCTTTGACCGAAAGTCCCAAAATAACAACAAAGTTTACAACAAGGAGAAAATTTGTAAGGGTTCTGTGGTTCATAAGTTGAATGTTGCAAATAAGCAACACAGTGGACGACCAGTGTTAAAAGTGAGTGGTGGCAAATATTCCAGTCCCCCAAATACATCCCCGTTACTACGCACACAAACCCAGTACTCTCTCAGTAACCAAAGACTGACAACCAATAGTCCCGACATGTATAGCCAACAGTTGTTACCTCCCTTGGAACAACTGCGATCAGCGGTGAGACACATGGATACCATTAGTAAGGACAGGGTCGGTTTTGGTCGAATTCGACCTGTGACCTACACAGAGGAATTCAAGCCCTTCATTAAATATAGTCAGGAAGCTAAACAACAAACAAATTTTGTATGACAGTGTCTGTAATTTTTGTCAATATTTTTGAAAGTGTCTTCTTTGAATCAAAAGGATTCACTCAAAGTACATGTTCTGTGATGAATATTTTTTGCATTTATCTGTTTTCTTTGTGTTCTGTTTTGAAATGATTTCAGATTTGTTGAACTCCGTCCCAGTTCTCTGACAGGAAGAGAAACATACGAGGTTTAATGAAATTTATGTTCAGACTGATTTAAAACCCCAAGACTGTGATATTATATAATAAATAATCTTCTTAGCTTTTATGAAGATATTTGAAAATATTTTAATTATAGGTGATAGGTCTATTCAATATTTGGAAATATTATCTCAATTCTTATAAAATATAGATATTTTAAAATTTATGTAAATTTATATATATATAAGCCTTAAAATTTCCACTGACATTATTATTTAGTAAACATTGTATGGAAAGTATTTTGATGTGATTTTTGAAAAGTAAAATGTAGATAAAATACTGTCTATTTTTAGCACTTAATTTACATGAACCTGACTTCTCTAACAGCCCCTCCCCCTTGTTTTATTTTGATAGCTAAAAAAAATGTATGATTTATTCAATGATTTTTTTTATCAATTTTCATTCATTGAAAACAAAAAATAAGTATTTAAAAAAAAATAGAAGAAATTAACATGCATTGTTGATAAATGAGGGCCGGTGTTTCCACGAAATGGTGCCCAGGGTACACATTGATCATTATTTAAAAAAAATTGTGTTGTGGCTGATCATATTCATGAAATGAAATCACTGAATTCATTACTTGTAATGTTTATTGATCTGCAATCCTCATTGACCTTAAATAATTAGTAATAGAACAATTTGGCTAAAACTAAAATAATGACCTTTAAATGTATGATGATTCAAAGTCTGCAGTGACATCTTTTGGACTGTACTGATATTGGGTTGTCAAGACAACCTCTTACTCAGTTTATGGCCATTTATTTAGAATTAATAATACAAATGGGTGAAAACTTTGAAGTTTGATGATTTTGCCTTATGATGCCTGCATCATAAAAGCACGAGATCTGAAGTCATAAATATATAAAATACTTCAAATTTGAAGGGGAAAATGAAATCACTTAAGGTCAACAATTTTACTCAGAATACTTTAACTTGTTTGACTGAAAAGTATGACGTAAAGGAATTAATTTAGTTTCTATGAAAAAAATTACAATTTTTCTATGCATTTTTATTTCATTGTGTAATAAACATGCTCCAATATATTTCACCTCCTTTTTTCAGCACATTGATGGAACAAACTTAATAGTGTCAACAGTTTAGAAGAAATGTTCTGCATAAAGAAATGTAGTCTTTTCTATAAAATAAAAAATTGAGACAAGCTTTATTATACACATACATACATATTGAATGCATAGAATTTTAAGAGCAGTCTTGATTGTTGCTTAGCAAAAAAAGATTGGCATACATTGTATTTAAATGTGCATGTTGTTGATATTGAAAAGGTAGGATGTTGACATTTTGAAAAGAATTTTATCTAAAAAATAAACAAGATATGCTTCATATGTTTTGTGTTGTATAGTTCAATATGCCATTGCATCTTTCCCAGGTAAAAAGGGATGTGAGCTAGTAGATCAATTCATGTAATGTTAAGATTGATCAGCAAAATTTTGTGTCACACGCACTTAATCTCCCCTCCCTAACTCACATGTGACATTATAACCCTAACTGGAGGCAAGAACTTGGTAAATCTTGTATCCATACCATGGCAGTACAGCATAATTCATAGAATAATAAAAGAAAATGGGTTGATAAACCTAGAAAAATGCTTATGGTTGGACAAGTAGATACAGTAGTGCACTGCTAAGGTGCATGAAACACCCATATTGAATTGCATACTGTATAGAGGGTTATTTTTGCCCCATGTTAATTTTGCCCTTTCACACTTGCAAACAATTTTGTCATGTTTCAAATTCACCCAGACACAGTTGTGTTTAAGAGATAATGCCATCTTCTTTGAATATGCTCACTTGTGACAAGGGCGAAAATGGGTGCAAAATTTTCCCTGTAAAGAGTAATACATTTTTGCTTATGCACAGTCACAAGTGGTGACCCTGTCATTTGCAACTACATCTGAAAATTACTGTAATGTACCTGAAGTGCTGTACAAAGAACACTTAGCCAAGTTATGTAAAATTGACCTACATCAAGATCATGACATCCCTTCCCACTAAGATGCATATTCAACTGAGAAGTTGATTAAAAACAGTCACAGTATATATTTTAAGCCGCTTTGTTTTTACACACATCCCTGTTGCTAGATATCAACATATTTTTTTTACATTATATATTCAGCTTTTACATTGTAGGGAAGTACTTGATCATTATTTCACTTCCTTGGAAATTTACACATCTACCATATTTTATTGTTGAAATACACAACTCTTTACACAGTTCTCGGAATGAATTTATTTCCACTTATTTCACATGTAGTACAAAATGTTAAAGTACCAAATACTGATATTTGAATTCATGCTATAGGAAAGGGTTTTCCTACTTCCATCAGAATTATTATTCTTTTAATGTATATTATTAATTCATCACAGAAATATTGACAACAAACATAAAAAAAAAAAATCCAAAAATCTATCAACACAATAGCAATTCAATATTTATACAAAATAAATAATATTATCACAGAAAAGATGGACGGATAGCCAATGAATGTCTTAAGTCCACAAACAATTTAGTACAACCTTAATTAAAAAAAAAATTGTAATCTCTCAAAAAAGTTCAGTCATTAAAAGTCTAAATTTCTGCAGTCAAAATTGACAAAATAGCCACCACATGGGCTATGAAACAGTCTAGGTGCTCTTGAGGAAGAGAGCGGCGCCACATTGTAGCCACAATGCTTGGTTACCACCGCATGGGACGTCCATACGAGTCACAATGTGGTCTCTCTCACTGCTAGTATATACAGGGATGGAAATCACATCATCAAGTCCATAGGGATCTGGTGCATCCTTTAAAATGATGAAATAATGTTTGTTAATGTTTTTGTATTTAATCTATTTAAAGCTGATTACATTCTTTGTAAAGATACTTTAACTTGGACAAAGAAAAGAATTCATACTCCAAATGAAAAGATTTCCACTGTCATGTTAACTCTTTAAAACATATAAACAAATCTGGAAATCAATGTATATTTTAATGTGGAAAAAAAAGGACCCTTATAAATCTTTTCTTTCAAATTAGACATAACAAAATATATAGAGTGCCTTTACTCTACACATGCATGTGTGTTAAACAAATAGTCCTAGTGTAAAAGTTAGAAAGAGGGGTCTAATGATAGGGAACTTACTTTTGGTATCCAGGCCACATGACATGGAGGGATTGCTGACACACTGGGGGAATCCCTCTGGTTCTCTGAGAGTCGGGCTCCATCAAAACTACAGCCCTCCAGCTGTAGTCCCCCAATCTTCACTTGGGTCTTGGCCCCCTGTACCCCTCCTCTCCAGCTAACACCAAACTTTAGACTGTCCATAGAACAACCCACCTCTCTGAAATGGAAAGTTCATGATAGTTAGCTTACTGGCATGTGATATTAGAGAAAACATCTTCACACAATTCATTCACAATTAGTAACCTATTCTAAGATGAACAATGACAACCTCTTTTATATTAATGCTACAATCATAAAATTGTCATCTAAAGATGCATAAAGAACAGAGTACATGCAGTACCTAGCTGTCTGCTGTCTTAGAGCATTGAGGAAAGTGTCCGGATGGAAGAGTTCAGACAGGTCCAGTGTATCCCTCAACAAAGTTCCATGGTCAGCCTTGTCCACCCATGTTTGAATGGCCGTAGCTCTACTAATTAATCCTCTTAGATACTGCATGGGATCCTCTGGTCCATCCCACTTAGCCTGCCAGTTAAGGGGGGTCTAAGGGAAAAGAATCATATCAATAAAATTTCTATGAAGTTGAATTCCATCATATAGGTCAACTCATTCAAAACATTTTGTAACAAATATCTGATATAATTCTGGTAACCATGGATCTAATCTATTGCATTTTGTGTCAAAATATAAGAATTTTTTGTATTTTTAGGCACACTTTTTGACACTCTAACAAAATGTTCAATGTTATCAATGGACGTAGTCTATTATTACCTCTTGGTTCAGAAGAGCTGCTGCTAGGTCTTGCACCTCCTTGGTAAGTAGCATGGTTCCTCTGATAATCTTACTGAGAGCAGCCAGCGATTGGTGGATGCTCTGGACCAGTTTGATAGCATTATACTGCTCCAGTTTGATGAAGGAGATAATTGGAGCCTCCTGGCCTGTTTTATCACTAGGAGGCTTGATTTTGGAGTTGATCAACTGGGAGCCCTATAAAATGGAAAACAGATATGTTTTACTTTATTATTTAAACTGCTGATGGCATCAAACTATCAGAGCAGTATTAGTAAACTGTAACATCTTTTGGTATACATACCAAAGTGAACAAAATATTCATTCAATTTAGGGTACATGTACACATGATGAAATGAAAAAAATTTAAGAGAAAGTGATTTTTTCATACAATTTTTCATTCTGTTTAAAAATATCTTTTGTAAATAAAAAAATATCAAATTGTGAATTTGCATACTTCAGAAAAAATATGAGATAAAACCTACTTGATTAAGCTTCTTCCACAAATTAAGCACAGGTCCGAGTTCTGTGGCCCAGATTTCCTTATCAAACTTGCTGGCCTTGGCATCTGCCCTCTGTAAGACCTTGAGTTGACCTATAACCTGCCCACTTATAATCCTTTGTGCTGACCTCTCAATGTTCTCTGGCAAGCCAAAGTATGAAGGCTTGTCAAATTCTGGGAGCTCATCAATGGCCTCAATGTAATCCTGAAAATCAGTAAACAAAACTTTTGTACCTTACTAAAATTCCTTCTTATTCATACTCTATATGACATTTCATTGAATTAGTCAACTGTATGGTAAAATGTTATCATAATCAATTATCACTCTGTAAAAATGGTTCTTGCTTACCAACAGATATTGTGGTGAACATTGAAAAAAAATTTTTAACAATGTAACACAACCTACCCTAAAATTTGTAGATGTTGGCAACTTCAAAGGTCCTAATCGTTTATTTCTGCCTTGAGCTAACATGTTTGCATCAAAGTACTGCTTCAGGTAGGACACCATAACTCGTAGATCAAACGGATTATCCACTCTTCCACCATATATAGCAAACTCGTAAAGACCATGAACAAACTTCCACTCCTGGTCATTTCCTGGTGTACAAAAAAAAAGGTATCAAAAATAAGATCAAATGAGTGAAA